GGATTTTTCAAAATTTGCCCCTACCCAAAAGTTCGACCCAAATTGGGGGACATCAGAATTCGTTTTAAAGGTATGGTTCCTTCGGCAAAGTTTCTTATTTTGATCCCTAGAATACGATTTTCTTAGAGCAATGAGCGATTTTTAAATCGACCCGCCCTAATACATACATGTTACACTTGATTAAATCGATCGCTTAAAATCGATCTCACATTTGTACTTGCGCTGTAGAAATTTTAGGTCTATGTTATGTAGTTTTAATCTTGAATGAAAGACTTATTGTCAATTATATTCAGTCAATTATGTATTTATATCACTTCAATAAAACACGGTTGAAAACTTTCGAAAACCTATATCAGATCTTATAAAAAGTGCTTATTTTTACTACGTCAACATTGGGTCGGTGTTATATTATGTTATGTTATACGGTAGACAAACGGGCTCGATTATTTGCATAACCAGCCTTTATTTGCTTTTACGGTAGACAAACGGGCTCGATTATTTGCATAACCAGCCTTTATTTGCTTTGACTCATGCATTTTCCTCTTTAATATGCGCATAAGCTGAACAAATGCACGAAATTTTTGGGAATTAACTCGGATCCGGGCAGTTTTTCGTTGACAACACTGGTCAGCTGTTGTCTTTTCTACAAGTAAGCAACCAAAGCGCGCGTGTTCCGCATCCGCAGTAGCCGAGTGGTAAGAGTTACGGGATACAAGCCTGTAGCTGCCAGGTTCGATCCTCGGTTGGAGCGATTGCGAAATTTTTTTTGTTTTTATTTATTTTATATTTTTTTTATTTTATTTGATCTATATATTTAATGTTACTTTATTTTGTTCATTTTTTTTTTGTTGTTTCATTTGCTTTATTTTATATCACATTTTTTATTTTACTATTAGTTAATTTAAATTTTTAGAGTTGAATTTTAATAAAAAGTCAACAACAACTAACTGAAAGCACCGTAAAAAAAATATAGAACTTATAAAAAAAAGAATGAAAAAAAAAAATAAAAAAAAAATGAAAATTTAATTGGCCGTGGGACTCGAACCCACGACCTTGCGGCTCGTTTATCCGCATAACTGCCGTCTGTGAGGTCAAAATTATTATGCGCATATGTATGCCAGATTATATGCATAAGCTTTGCCGTCTGTCACAGCTTTTAGCCTCTATTACGAATCGATATTGTCGTATGAAATGCGATAGTTAGCGTAGCTTATTAATGGTGGTTAGGGTTGTCAGACGTACTGCTTTTGGTATTAAACGTACTCCTTTTTATTGCAATGTACTCCCTTGTACTCCCAAAAAAAATATCTGGAAATGTACTCCTTTATTAGTTTTGAACTTCTTTTGTACTCCTTTTTCTACTATTAATATTTTATACAGGGAGTAAAATAATAACTGTTGCGCAGTTTGTTTTGGAAAATAAAAGGGATTTTTATAGATTTTGCGAAAAAATGAGTTTATTGTTAATTATCCACAGATTTTACGTAAACTTTATCAATTCGTTTTTAAATTTTAACCGCAAGTAAAAAAAAAGTAGTTTATTGTTAATTTTCCTCAGATTTTACATAAATTGTATTAATTAGTTTTTAAATTTTTACCTTCATTTGGGTCTAGCAGCGGATTTGGGAGAAAAGCGCAAGCGGCACGCAAGTCTTCGTCGGTTACTTTATTACATATCTTCTGTAACCATAGGCTTATTTCCCCAATTCGGGTCCTTTATACTCCGTCTTTTGTCCGCCATAAGGCCTCTTACTCAGCAATCGAAAAGACTCGGAACTGGTGACTAAGGAGGGAATCAACCAACCTATACCCAATTTTTTTTACCGACTTCCAAGAAAGGAGGAGGTTATCAGTTCGTCGGAATAATTTTTTTTTTATGTATGTTACCGCATAACTTTGCACCACGTCAACCGATTTCGATAATTCTTTTTGCATCGGAAAGGTAGTGTCTCAGAGGTGGTCCCATACTAATCTGGTTAAGATCCGATCAGTGGATCATGAGATTATCGAAATCGGTTAACGTGGTCCAAAGTTATGCGGTAACATACATAAAAAAAAAAATATTCCGACGAACTGATAACCTCTTTCTTTTTTGGAAGTCGGTTAAAAAAATTGCCATACATTCAAGAAATGTCTAGAATTCTTTTGTAGAATTTAGTTTGGGAAACTTTCCTATAAGGGCGGTCATTGAAGAGGCGGTGAGCGAAGGGGAGAGGGCATGAATCGCTATTAACAAAAATGCAACTTTTTTAAAGATTACGAAGGCAAGTTTGAAAGGGTAAAACAACAAGTAATTTTTAGAAAAAAAAACCGACTTAAAAATATATATATATATCTATATATTTCATGATTCAATGGACGGATCTAAACCAAATTAGTATGGGACCACCTCTGAGACACTACCGTTGCAAAAAGAATTATCGAAATCGGTTGACGTGCTCCAAAGTTGTGCGGTAACATACATAAAAAAAAAAATATTCCGACGAACTGATAACTTCCTCATTTTTTGGAAGTCGGTTAAAAGAGAATAAAAAAGCTGGCCGCTGTGAATTATCAGAGCTATGTATGTTCATCACAAAATTGTACCAAAAAGTTTTGCGCAGTACAATTGTAACAAAAATGGCAACACTGCTTTGAATTGTGTCTTTCTGAATTTAAAATGAAAATTCTGCTGTGGAATTTTGAAATTTCATACACTAAATTTTCGTCGCCGAAATTCTGTAAATGAAAAGCAGGGGGGGCTACAAGTATATAACATGAGAAAGTAACAAATTAACCGCCCTATTCCCACAACACTGACAAAATTCATCATATGATTATTGTCACAATTACTGCGCCTAAAACATAATATAAACATTGTTTCGCCGTTGTCACTTACTCAGTAGGTCATAACAATAAAACTGACAATTGTCATACGACAGCTTAAAATAAATTTGCGGCATAGTATTAGGCGCAGTAGTACGGCCACTGAGTTTTGTCAGCCGTGTGGGAATAGGGCGGTTAATGTGTAATAAGCCAAATATAGCAGTTTGCGGGCCGTGTAACTAGAAGTTGCATGTTGTTAGGCGCGCCTGCTTCTCTTTTGGCGATAAAAATTTGCGATAGCGAATCTGACTAACCTCCGAATTTGAACCGCAATTTTCTTAACTAAAACTGAAAAAGGTGTAAAATATTACTCTCGCCTTTTACTTAAGGTTTACACCTTTCTGATTTTGAACTGCCACTTTCTGAACTAAAACGAAAAAAGGGTGTAAAATTTTACTCTCGCCTTTTACTTAAGTATACTTAATATATGAACACTCATACATGCATACTTCTTCAATTATCTCAATCACTGTCTTGATTATTTTGAAGACAGTAAATCCGACAATGATTTACGTATGAAGACGATAATTTTGACGTCTTGTGCAAGAAAGAATAGAAATTCACAACAAAAGAAATATAATAACTGAAGAGCCGCTGATGTGAATGTAACTTTATGGGCTGGTTTCTCCAACTCAACTTTACTTAGTTTAGCCACTTTTCGGACTTAAGTCAGAAGTTAGCCTACGTTTTACACAACTTATTCTTGACTAAGTCAAGAAAATTGGCTTAACTTAGTTAAGTTGAGTTGGATAAACCAGCCCCAAGTCTTTATTATGTTTAGTTTTTAGCTTAAATAGCTCACGCGAAATACATATTATAATACAACGTTCACGTTCGAAGTTCCCCTGCAGAAAAAAATTATCAATTGATAAAAAATAACGAACTTGTCGTTAGCTTTTTTGCGGGATTTCTATAAAATATATAACTTGTGGTTAGCTACAAAAATCGAACTTAGAACTAGTTGACAAGTAATGCAGGAGTAATGAAGGAGATTGTTTTCTTTAAACGCGTTTCTATTTAAATATCCTGCACTTCGCAAATACTTTTTCGAATTGGGGGCAAATAAAAGGAAGATCGAAATTTCATATTATCATTTTGAAGTTATGTCTGACGGAGTTCGAATATGGGACCTACAGCTGAATATGAAAAAATATGAAATGTAATAAAATAAACAAAGTAAATAAAAATAAAAAAAATTAAAAATATTCCGTTTTACCTATTGATATTTTATGTTCAAAAGTAGTTACTTACAAGTTAGTTACATCAAATGCAGAGGTAACCACCCTTGACTATTTCGCGGCCATCGCCATAGAAATATAGTTAGCTTTCGTCAAAGAAAATATACAGATAATAAGTGAATTTTAGCTCCTTCCTAATCAATTTTAAGTTAGCATATCTGTGTTCGTATGGAAAAGTAGCTTATGTCGAAAGGCTGGCTTTAGTATAAATCGGCATTCGCAGCATAGAATTGAGAATGACTCACTGGCGCTGAGCCGTTGAAGAACTTTTCGCAAATAAATATGCAAGAAGTAGTTCCAATACTACCAAGTCAATATTATTATTAAGTCTCATCATAAAATTCCTTGCCGTTTAAAGAGTAAAGGGAATGCCACATTATACTAAAGCCAGCCTTTCGACATAAGCTACTTTTCCATATGAACACAGATATAGTTAGATACATTTCCTGCAGGGTCTGCTCAAAATGAATTGTCAAAACTATTGTCAGGACGCCTACGCCACGGAGACAATTCTCAGCGTTTTTTATAACTAATACCCATTTCTTTACTGTCTTTACAGCATTGTTTAATGTAAGTGCGACGTTAAATCGTTAGAAAGTATTATTATTACTAAAATTTAGTTTTATTCCTTTAATTTTATATTTAGCTTATTTTTATATTTAATCGAAATGCAATAACAAATATACAACTGCATACCCCTGCATGACGCAAAATGCCTACATACATAGGTAGAACTTAAGCATTTGTAACAGCTGGTATAATTTTCTTGTAGAATTCGATGCCCTTTAAGTAGACATCAGCTTGTAAAAATTCATCGTGATCATGCAGCAACACGGGGGTATGATTCATTGGGGAGAAGCCAATTGCAGGAACACCAACATCACGTATATAACGACTATCTGTGCCACCAGGAAATACCAGGGGCTTGATTTTGATGCCACTAAAGTGAGAATAACAAAAAGTAAATTAAAAATCCGCTAAAGATTTTAAAGAATATCAAATTAATTACAGTTCCGTTGTAGCTTTTTTGAAAGCCAGCCAAAAAGGGTTGGAACTATCAATTTTAGTTGCTTGTACTTTGGGTTGCTTTTGTTCATAAATGATTTCGACACCGCCACCAGCTTCCTCGCACCACTTCTTCAACTACAGTAAGTAAATATAAATACATACATATGTGAATATATATGTAAGTATATGAGGGTAATGGAAAAGCAAAAATTCGTTTGAGTTTCGCGCACCTGCTTTTCATAATCGTCATGGTCTACATTTAATGCTAAACGCATATCGAAAACAGCCTCCAATGTCGGTGGCACCACATTGCTCTGCACACCACCATTTATGCTGGTTAAATTGATAGTTGTGACATCGCCAATCGACAAAGCACTATCACTCTCCAAACGTTCGACTTCGTGTTGCCTAAATTCCATTAACTTGTTCAAAACATAGTGCAACTTTTGCCCGACAGTATTTTTATGCAACAACGATCCATGTCCAGCTGTGCCACTAAACACAAAATGCACGTCTGAAATAGAATGAATGAGGGTAATGAAATACCATAGCTACAAAAAAATAAATTACGAAATCCAACGTCGCGATACTCACGCCAAATGCTTCTCTCTGCATAATATACGGGGAAGGTCTCATCGGGTGAGGCAATGCCTTCGTCGAGGGAAAAGCCTACATTTAATTTTTTAAACTCGTTGGACTTAATAAAGACTCGCATTCCTTCCACACCACCGATCTCCTCATCTGCAAATTTTTTACAAACTTCGTAAGCCTTTTATAGTTAATTTGTAAATAGTTTATCAGAAAAGTAATCTAACTAGATTCGCTAATCTTTAGTGCGAGCAACTTTAATTGCTACTACAATACGGCTAATTACAATGATAATGTGTAAGGCATTGTGTAAGACCAGAGGACGACCCGCGTATGTTTTGATTTTCCATATTAACATACCTGGCACGAAAATCACATGTATGGTACGCTTCAAAGTGACACCATCTTTTCGTAGCGCTCGTATTGCTGCTAAGTACTGCATGCCCACACATTTCATGTCCTGTGCGCCACGCGCGAAAATTCGGCCTTCTTCGTCAATATCAGCACCGAACGGTGGATAAGTCCACTTGTCTGGAAACACTGGCACTACATCCATGTGAGAGTTTAAGACAATTGTTGGCAATTCCGGTCGCTGTCCCACCCATGTTATGACAACAACTGGTTTAGTTGGACCCGCAGGATGATAAACTTCAATAGGCAAACCCAAGTCTATTGCCTGTTTTTTCAAGAATTCCACGCAAGGTGCTAAAATTATATATATGTATTTATTAAAACAAAAATTTTAAACATTGATATTAAACGTACGTAAATACAATATGTACTAAAAGTAGAAGCAGAAGAAGACTGCCCAAAAACTTGACTGATATTCTGTCATGAAGCTTGAAGCTTAATGAAAGAGTTTGTTCAGATTTAGGCTTACATACAATGAAGTATTTTCTAGGCAGTGATAGCTGCCATTAACAAAGTAGTCGATTAGCTGATCGATTGCGCGACGTTGGAAAAGAGGTGAACATGAATCAGGGCTTTAAGAGGACCCACAGAGCGCTTTAAGGTAGTAATGGAAAGCCCGACCTCTGAGTCTTGCATCTGAGTCGATTTCATACGGGTGCCAGGCCATAGTAATATTGCAGGAAACTGCGCTGCGGATGCATTGGTCACGGCATTGGCGGGTATACTTTTGGCTACTTACGGATTGCGGCCCTTGTGTGAGCTCAGCCGCAACTCTCATTATCCGATGGCTATACACGCGATGAGATTAGCAGGACTATTCTAGCTAAGATAGTTAAAAGTCTTTTGAAAGACAGTAGGCGAAGATTTTGTTTATTCTGGAATGAAAGCTCGTTTAGCAGAAAGCATTCTTCTCAGGCCGTCATAATGGGCCGAGTGAGTAAGGTACTACCGTGCCATTCGAGAGATTCGCATTTCGAGTCCTCGAGAAGCGGGTTTTTCTTGTTTTTTGATAAATGTTTTTTTAAATTATTATTTTTTTACTTTCTAGATTTTATTTTAAAAAAGAAAGTATAAGGATGGGGAGACGAAATGTCGGCCGTATGTATTTTGCATATTTTTTTGTGAAGGAAATGAGCCCTTGCCAAAATAGCATAATACGGTTGACAAACGGGCATAAACAGCCTTTATTTGCTTTTACTCTTTAAAATGCGCATAAGAAGCCGAATAGATGCACGAAATTTTTGGGATTTAACTCGGATTCGGGGAATTTCCGATGACAAAACTGGTGCAGGCGAGTTTCGCGAGCCGAGTGGTGAGAGTTGCGTGCTATAAGCCTAGCGCTGCCAGGTTCGATCCTCGGTTGGAGCGACTGCGAAAACATTTTTTTTTTTTTTTTAATTAAATTTTTATTTTTTTTTTTATATATTTAATTTTACTTTATTTTATTTTAATTTGCTTTATTTTATATCACATTTGTTATTTTACTATTAGTTAAATTAAATTTTAAATCTGTCAGGGCAAAATTATTATGCGCATTTATGTGCTAGTTTATCTGCATAAGCATGCCCGTCTGTCTCGTGTTTTAGATTTTAAAAAACATTTTCTCATGTTTTGTGTATTTCTAGATAGGCTATTAGGGTTCTCATCGCATTAAATGTGTAGCGTAATTCGCTCTTTGGCGTATTCGTTGTATCTTAAAGTTTTCGTGTTCTTTTCTCAGCATCTTCACATGCATATTGCGTGCTCTTTCTTTAAAATGTTGCACTCTGATAATGTTGCCATATGAGGCGAATTTTTTTTCGAGAAAAGAAAACGCTATAAGTGTAACTGAATAAGCGACTGAGTTGTTGTTGCTAGGGATACAATAAATAGCCTTGCCGCAACAATCACACGCTCATCCGGTTAAATTTATACTTTGCAAACACTGCATAAATAAGCCAGTTATGGTCAATCTCCAGTTGAAATACAAATTGTACTTACTGTAGTTGATATCCGGATGCACACTTGGTATACGCAGGTATTCACGAAATATTTCGATCTCTTGATTATTCTTCCATGAGCTCATTTTGCCGCTAATCTATATACACAAAACATTCAAAGGTACATACCGTCGTCTCAGAAAACGGATGTCGAATGTTACAAAACACGG